TTCTCATGAATTATTTCTCATTTCCGCAATTTGATTGTAGAACTGAGAAACCAGAATATTCTTTGAGGTTCTCATTAAGGAAATCTTAGTGCACTATTCTTCAAAATGCCTAACCGATACAAAGATCTTTAGTGAGATCAGTCTGTAGTATGCTTGCAATGTTAACGATTAACAGTTCATTGGCGCCCCTTTGGGGTACCAGCCACGGCTAAGTCCTCCTTTTACATAAGTGCACTTGAACGACAGACTCTTATTGTCCATGTAATACAACAGCTACGATATCATTCACATATGCCTTTTCAAAACTATTTTCTTTGAATAACAGTAGCTAGACATTGCACATATCAGAATTCCCGAAAACATACCAGGATAAAAGTATCACTTTTCATAATAGTAATTATAGCATATAACAAATTAATGCCAGGTCTCATTGTTAGACCCACGCCTATCCATGTATATATTTCCACAGATGATAGATTTAAAAACACGAAAGAACCTTTCTTATAAGTATCAAACACGACCAAATTCAATAGCTTATTCACTCTTATTGCGTACATTTAACTAATAAATAGTCAAAAACCATTCCATAGTAACTACAAATGACTCACTTAATTGATAAGTATTTTCATAAGACGAAAACAAACATACAATTTCCAATTATTCTCTTCTTTTTCATACATTTATGCAAAACCGAAAAAGACATATACTGTTTTAGCTGATCATCTACTTCAGCAAATGCACATTCTAAATCCACAAAAAAATATACGAACCGAAAAACTAATTCTTTTCCTTTCAAGTTCGTTTTCGATGGAATGCATTTAACTGTTTTAATCATGTTTTCCATTCATACATTGTCACTATATTCTATTCTTCGAGAAAAACTGGTCTTAGGATGCATACAAAAATATTTCTCCTTTTTTATCACTTTGAGTTCGTTTTGAAACTCATCAGATCTAACCCCAGGTCGAAAAGTACCGGCCGGTTCCGGCAGGAAAACACCGGAAATCAACGGAACATGGAAGCAGTATTCCGGCCGGAAATTTTTTCGGATTTTTTTCCGGTGAATTCCAGCCAATTCCTGTTCTTTCCGGCGGGAACCGGCCGGAAATCCGCCGGAAAAAGTCCGAAAAATTTCCGGCCGGAATACTGCTTTCATGTTCCGTTGATTTCCGGTGTTTTCCTGCAGGAACCGGCGATTTTTCCGCGTCTTTCCTGCCGGTTCCTGCAGTATCCGGTGACCGGAACGATCGACCTGGGACCCTTTCACATCCTCTTGTTAAATCTTTTTAATTTAACGCCCTTCAAAATGCAACTGTCGAGTGCACCAGCTAGTCGCTCGTCGGCGCCTCTCTGGGGCGCCACTCGCGACTAGCTGCTGCAACCTCTGATCTTCTTCTCCCATAAGATAGTTCTTTTCACTTAAACCCTGTTAAATGACAGATTGCTCTTACTTAGAATATTAGATTTATAACACCATCGCTCCACATGAGCAGCTCCGGACCAACAGTTTCCTGTTATTTATTCCTAATTTCTTTAACCCAATGGTTTAGCCAATACGATAAAATTTTATTAGGGCTTCTGGTTTGGAGAATCTTAGTTGATTATTCTTGATAAATGCAGGTTTCACGTAGATCTTTTGCTAAACAACATTAGAATACGTTCGCAATTTTAGCGACCACTAGTTCGCCAACACTTCTCTCAGGCCTTGCTCATAGTCCCTTGTTGCATTCTTGGAATACATTAAAACAATCATTGGTTATTCAGCATTTATCCTATAGGCCGTAACTTCATTTACAGGATTCTTTTAATGCTACTTCTCTCGACTTAAGCAGAGTGCACTCAAAAAAGGCCACTTAACTCACAAACCACTATGAATAATCATGAATCCCACAATGTTGCACACATTAGACTGAGTACCAATGGTTTGTAAACACTGTTTCATCACACTACGACTTACTGAAACACTCAACCCATTAGATCACACTCTGATTCATGTCTACAACGATACTATGAAGAGGCTACCGAAACTAAACAGCAATTACAAACTCCAAATACGCAGAAGGATTGTCCATATTTCGGGTTTCCATTTTTTCAAATGCCTTTTGCTTTAAAAAAATTGACTTTTTCCTTAGACAATAATTCAGATAAAAAAGGATGATTTGTCTCATACAAAAAACTACTTGAGTTTTTGAACAGCTGACTTGAGATTCGGGTTCCCCGACCTGGATTTGCTTACGTCAACCTTTATAAAATATCGTTATTTTCTCAAAAAACCCTTTCCTTCACCCAAAAAATTCAATTCAAAATTTTGGAAAACTGACTTTAGATTCGGATTCTTCGACCCCGATTTACTTTTGTCAACGTTTAGAGGAAAGAACTTTATCTGATTGGTCGAAAGCCCGATATCGAAAACATCTCATTGGCTGAAACTATGGGCTGAATAACGTGATTGGTCGAAAGCATCAAAGCGCAAACTTCTTTAAGCGTATGTTTTTTTTGACCCCGAGGTTCTTTTAACTCTGATGTTCTTTTGACCTGACGACAAACAAGCAAGCACGCAAACTCTTTTTTTCCATATGACCCTCCCTTCAGTCGAGGGAATAAAAAAGCTCATTTCTGATTGGCCCGTTCCTGACGAATGAAATCCCGGCCAAAGAAATGGGCTCCGGATTCGAATGCAGGGCCCTCGATAACCTATAGCAAAGTTTGATCAAAATGGCCAAAAGTCTTAAAATAAGCTGACGCCACCTGTATGTTTTTTTGACCCCAAACAAGCAAACGGACAAACTATTTTTTTTCATATGACCCTCCCTTCAGTTGAGGGAATAAATAAATGTAGTTTGATCGTTATCAAGATCAGATTTGTTTTATGAAATAAATGATTTTTTCCTTCGATTAATTGAATATGTTTTAATTGAAATCTTTTTTCAATAGATATATTTATTCAGTTGTTGATAATAAATGGTTAAATATGATAATTAACAGTAAAATATGCTAAAGTTTAAAGGTAAAAACTAGTGTGATGATCTATGTTGATGATGGTTGTTTGACAATAGTATCAATCCATTTAAGATAATCAGGATTTCCATTTGTAATTGGTAATTCGATTAATTCTGGTACATCATATGGATGATTTTTTTTAACAAATTCAATTAATTCAGCTACTTTTTCTTGTCGAGTTTTAATCATTAAAATAAGTTCATTATCTTCATGAATATTTGATTTCCATTCATAAATTGATCGAACATTTGGAATTATATTGACACAAGCAGCTAGATGAGATTCAACTAATGAACGTGCTAATTTACGTGCAACTTCATCAGTTGATACTGTTGTTACACAAGCCGAATATTCAGATGATTTATTATAAGATGACATCGAACGTTTTATTAATATCTGAGAGTAAACATAATATATTAACAATGAAATAAAGAAAAAACTCAATGAAACAAATATACTAATTGAGCCCATCAAAAAATCTACAATAGATAATTTAACTCACCCAATTATTTATATGAGGACGAATTAATTTTATTAACATACTGAAAACAAATATATATTTATATTCTCATATGGATTTTTATATTTGTCAATTATATTTTCTTTCTTTTTTAAATAAGAAGAATAAATAGAATCTATTCTTGGATTTTTTTAATAAAACAAAAATTTCGTTTTGATGTGATATGATGTTCTATTTTCAAATAAACGAATTTGACTTATTTTCTCCAAGTAAACGAACATTTTTTTTAGAAAGAAAAAAATGTTTTCTTTTGTTGATCATCTTGATCAATTTTAATAAAAATAACAAGAACAACAAAAAACAACAAAAAAAAAAGAAAAAAAAACACGGGAACATAAAATGAGTAAGTTTTAAAAAAAGAAAGTAGTTCAATCTCATAAATTAATTATCATGTAAAGCAACAAATGATTTAGCTCCAAATGGTGATGCATAACGAATTTGTAAATGTTGAAATACTTTTTGTCCAAATCCAAGATCACAAAGATAAATTCGTCCAACATTTTTTGATGACATTGAAACAAGTGGTAATAAAGGTACTAATGAATATTTACATTCAATAGCTCCACCATCTAATGGTGGATCAACAGCAATAATAGATGCTTGAAGACGAGAACAATATTGGACGATATCACGATACCATGGTTTGGCAAATAAAACTGAATCAGAATAATTAGCAGCATCTAAACCATTTAATATTAAATCAACAGGTGATCGAGGAAGTTCTATTAAATATTAATAAAATAATTATTTATTTATTTATTTATTTATATTAATATAATATTACCAGATACATTTGTTGTTATAATACCTTGTGTTGTTCGAAATAATTTAAGTTCATTTTCAATAAAATAATGTTGAGTAGGATTTGAATTAGGTGGTATATATAAATAAATTCGAATATTTTTTGATGCTAATATTCTTCCAGCACAAATAGCATATGCACCTTGAACTTCAGTTAAACAAGCTAAAACAACAATTGTTGGATGTTGATGACGATTTTTAACTAATAATCTTTGTGTACCACCTAATAAATGCAATGACATATCACTTGTACATCTACCCATTGATTCAATACGTCTTTCTAATGAATAACCATGATATTCGGATGAAGCAAATAATTTATTACGTAATTCAATATTTATTCCTGGAACAACAAGACCTTCATCTAAATAAATAATTCTTACAATTATATTGAGATTATTTATTAATGTTGAAGGAACCTGTTAAAAATTTTTTCGTTGTTGGTACAGGTAATTGAATTTGTTCATAATCAATAGGTCCATTATTATGTTCAAGTATCATTTGATCACACCGGTATTTATCTTGAATTTGTGAATATGAATGTACAATTGAAGAATTTTTAATTGATGATAAATTTGATGAATCAAAATTAAAACGATTTGTTGTTTCATCATTTATTTCATTATCATTTGTTGCTTCATCTGACCAAGATTTTGATGAACGAGAACGATTTGATAAATTGGAATTTATACCAATCATTTGATTTGATTTATTACCTAAATAATTTAATATCATTTCATTTTATTTTATTTTATTTTATTTTATTTTATTATCAAATAAATAACATTCGTTAAATTCATCACTAATAAAATAAAATAAAATAAAATATAGTTATTGAATAATCTATCAACGTTTAATCTTTTTATATATCTCAAATATATTTTGAAAATATTAATCGTAACAATAAATCTTAGCTGTAATCATCTCACGAGGGAAGGTCACCAACTTTTCAATCGCTTTTTAGTCGGAACTATGTGCATCATGTAGGTCCTAATGAGCTATGAATACCCTGAAAAGAGTTCGGGCGGCTAGCCCATTACTGTCGAGATACTACATTTTTACGATATTGTTAAGCAGAACGCCATAGTTCCCCTCAGGAACCAGAAAAACTGAGTTTGGAGTTTTGACCTGAAACTTTGTACAGAAACAGACCTCAGTGAGAGTAGTTTATTGTGAAAGTTTCAGGCCTTTTGGTTGTTCCTATCCTAGGATACAGCTAAAAAGGGTGTTTTTACACTGCTCGTATACCCTCGACAGGTTCCGATGTGCTTATTTCAGAATAGGAGCAACCAAAAGATCTGAAACTTTCAAAATAAGCCACTCTCATTGAGGTCTGTTTCTGTGCCAAACTTCAAATCAAAATTCAAAACTCAGTTTTTTTGGTGCTCCTGAGGGGAACCACGGCGTTCTGCTTAACAATATCGTAAAAATGCAGTATCTCGACAGTAATGGGCTAGCCGCCCGAACTCTTTTCAGGGTATTCATAGCTCATTAGAACCTACATGATGCACATAATTCCGACTAAAAAGCGATTGAACAGTTGGTGACCTTCCCTCGTCAGTTAAGTTATTGGTGATAATAAATATCAAAAACATAAATATTTTCCATTATAATTCATCTCATTTACATCAAAATTTTAAAAAGATTCTTTAATAAAAACAAGATAAATATATTTGTCAACTATCTTTTATAACAGAGAAGAAATCGAACTGATCTTAACCTGACTTAAGTTTTGTTCATAACTAATCTCTGATATTTATATATATATGATCAATGTATGATGATTGGTGTTTTTAGAATATCCTTAGTATAAGGTGAAAATTTCTAACCATGAATAGCAATGGGTGCAGCTTTTAATTGTTGTTGTGATTGTTCATGAAATTGTTTTTTTTGTATTGTTTTAGGAATTTGAAAATGTGAATCTGGTTGAGATAAAATATTTAAATCAATAATATCTTTAGCTTTAATAATAACTAAATTAAAACCATCATCATCATCAATTAAAATTCCATTATGAAAAGCATTTATTAATGTTAATGTTTGATTAATAACATCAATTGATTTTATTTGTCCTTGATAATTTCCAATTGTTGAACCACAATCAATTGATACAGTCCAATTAAGAAAATTTTCAAAACTCATCATTTTATATCATTATAGACTTTTCATCAAAAATTTTCTTTCTGTCTCTTTTTTTTGTTTTTTAATCTAAATTAAATAAACAATTTTTTTTTTTCTGATTGGGAATAAATCGAAAAAGAATAAAAACATACGAAGAAAAAAAACAAAAAAAAACAAAATAAATGTTTATATATTCAAATCGTTTGACATATTTTTATAATCGAACATATAAAAAAAGACAAAACAAAAAACAAAAAAAAGGAGAAGTGCTTGATTAAAGATAAAAAAGATAATTTAAATCGATGGAATATGTTCTATTTAATATGAAGATAAACAAATAAAGACCTGAGCTCAATCAACAGCAGATACAATATAAAACTGTTCTAATGTGCACCAACGTTCTTGTTTTGTTTCACAACATTAAATAAAACAATAAAGAATAATTTATTTTGTTATAAAATATTCTTATTTTTTTTTTTTTTCTGTCTCTCTCTCTTTCTCTTAATTAATAGCAAAAGAAAAATATACAGAATGAAAATCTATTTACATTAAATGAAAATGAAAATAAACAAAATAAAATGTTTTAACTAATTAAACATGTTTTATTTGTATGAGTTTGAGTTTTTGATAAATTTCTATTAATTATTTGTTTGGAATTTGAATTAATATTAGCAGATGAATTTGATGAACGACGAGAATTAACTTTTTCATTTGAATATTCATTTATTCCATTTTCATTGGTATCAATATTATCCATTGCTTTTATACTTTTTTCAAAGATTTCTTGAACAGCCTTTTCAGAATTTTTTTAATTAAAAAATAAATTTATTTAAATAAATATTCTTACTCGAATATCCATAGCAGATGCTTCAACAAATTGAACTTTCCATGCATTAGCTAAAGATCGACCTTCTTCACTTGAAACGACTCTAAATTCAATTTTCATCTTAGTTTTTTTTTTGTATTCGATATAATTAACAAATAAGAGTCACTTTATTTTATATTCTAAATAACTATTTTCAAAATTCAATATAATATAATAAAACAATAATATAGAATATATGACTAACAAATTCAATTATAGAAATAGATTATTAATATTATTATAAGCTTATCAAAAGATAAGATTTCTATTCTTTTCTTTTCTTTTCTTTTTCTTATAAGATAAAAATGTTTTTTGTTTTTCTTTCTAAATAATTCATTTAATAAATAATCATTGTTACAAATCGAAAGAAATTTTATCAAATAAAGGTAATCTTATTTTGATTTAACTATTTAAAATTAAGACAAAAAAACTAGACTTGATTATCTTTGTTTTTAATATATTATTTATCATTATAAAATAAAGTATAGAATTAATTTTATCTTAATAAAGTATAGAATTAATTTTATCTTAAATAAATCAAATTATATATTTGACTTTGACATTAAACTTTGAAAAATAATAAAAAGGGAGTAGATGATATTAATCAATATAAACTATTGAATTATAAATAAATATATGAAAAATTCAAAAAATCTAATATAATTAATAAATAAATCTTATTTATTAATCAACTAATTCAATTTATTTAAAAGATTTTATTCTTTGTTTAATTGAATTGATAAAGTAAAAAACATACCGTTCATCATTTCGATCGATTTTATTTCCAACTAAAACCATTGGAATTCTATATAACAATAACAAAAACAAAAAAACAAACGTCTAATTAATAATGAAATATTTATTTAAACCTTGTAACAGTACTTGTTGACATTATTTTATCTCGAATTTTTGAAACCATTTTAAAACTAAAATAAAACAAAAGATGTTAAATTAAAAAAAAATTTATTTAATTAAAAACTAAACCTTTGAATATCATCAATAGCATAAACAAGAATATAAGCATCACTATTTTCAAAATCTATATGATTAAGTGTATATTGATCAGAACCAGCATTATCAATTATTGTTAATTCATATTCTTGTCCATTAATAACACATTGATGTTGAAGATCTTTAATTCATATTAAGAAAAAAAAACATATTAGAAATTTTAAATTAAAAAAAAAATTAATTTATTTGATTAACTTGTTTTTATATTTGGGTCATATTCATTATAAAAATGTTTATAAACAAAATGATGAGCAAGAGAAGATTTTCCAACACCTGGAAAACCTAATAATGCGATTTGTCGATGTCGACGCATTTTTTTTAACAATTTATCTTAAATAAATAATATTAAAATAAATATTTTAATCATACTTAACAGAATATTAACTATTTCTTCTTTGATTTAGTTTTTCGTTCAATCATTTCACAAAATCAAACAAGAAAATAACAACAATAAAATAAATAAAAAGATAAAATAAAATAAAATATCTTTCTATAATTCATCACGGAATGAATAACGTTGTCGACTTGGTGTTAAACGAACAAAAACAGATTCTGGTGGATATAATCGATTATTTATTTTGACAAATTCATTTTCTGATCGTTGAGATAAATCATCTTTTTTATTTGATAAACTTTTTCCAATATCTATTCCATTGTCTTTTATTTTCGAATCAATATTTTTCTAAATATAAATTAACAATTATTATTTTCTTTATTTTAATCAAAATATTCGTATTCAATTTTTCCTGTTTTTTTTTGTTTCTATACAATTATTAATAATTAATTGTAAAAGAATTTATTCTTAAACTAATATCATTTTATTTCGATTAACATAATATATATATTAACTTTTATTCACCTTTTGTTCCTACTCTAAATTGAAGAGTTTAGTTTTTTAATTAAAATAAAAATTCTTATCAAATAAAAAAAAAGCTAAATGAAATATTATTTTTATTCGACTAATTAAATTATAAATTCTATTAACAGTTTTTTAAAATAATTTATTTTATTATAAATATTTAATAAAAAATTTCAAAACTAGGATCTTCTCGTTTTTCTTATTAGTAAATTTTTCTGCATAGTCAAACAATTCATTGTTTAAAATAATCAATATATTCTTAGATATGGATTTTATTAGGATAAATATAAATATAAACAAATATTTCTTTATTCTATAAGTGATAATAAATATAATCTATCATATTTGAATTATGAAAAATAAATTCTTTTCTATATATTTTCAATGTAAATCTTTATTTATTTTAAAATATTTTTTAAATTACTTGAATAATTGTTTGTTTGGTTGATGGAATTGGATTATGAAAATGTTCATGAAGTTTTCCTGAATGAAGATCTTTAACAAATTCTAATAATTTTCCATTTATTCTAAATAGAATATTTATTTGTTTTATTAACAATAGAAAACGAAAAAACAAAATCAATTTTATTACGATATTTGATTAAAATCTGGAAAAATAAACATATGTCGAAATGTATCAATAACTAATAATGGTAAATCAGACATTCCTTTTCCAATATGTTCTAATGGATGAAGAAATTTTGCTCCATCAGCATGTAAACAATTAATACTTGCTAAAATAATAATAATAATACAGAGATTAAATAATAAATAATTGAAACCTGTTTGATGCATAAGTTGTTTTTGAACTTGATATTCAAATATTGATACTGATTTATGATCATCAATATGATGAAATAAAATAAGAAATGGTAAACCTTCATCGGTTAATTCTTCAGCATTTTCAAATGTTATTTCTCGAACTAAATGAAGACATTTATTATGTGACCATCTATAGAATATTTCTTCATTATTTAGTTCTCCTTTATAATATTCATCACTTTTATTTGATGACTAAAATATAAATTCATCTTCGTTTTTATTTTATTATAAGTTAATTTAATTGTTTACTTTAGATGGACGATAATAAATAATATCATTTGTTGGACGTTCATTTTCAAATTCTTCTCTATTATATATTCAAATATTAAACAAAAAGAAAATAAGTCTTATTCGAGATAAATAATTAATTAACAAAACAACAAACAAACAACAAATGATTTTTATTTTTATTTTTTTAAATAAAATAATCTCAATATTAATATAGGAGAGGCTACCAATGCACTATTATATTATTATTTAAGAATAAACACCGTTTTATCTGCTATTTTTATTATCTATATAAACGATTTTAATTAAAACTATTCTATCTAGGGGTGGCACTTTAACTTTACTTTAAACTTTAAAGTATGCTTACTTTAACTTTAACTTCAAAGTTAAAGTAGATTTTTCCGCAAAAAATTTTTTTTCCTAAAATAGTTGTTTTTTCATAAAAAAGTTATTTTTCCATAAAATAATAATTTTTTTGCGGAAAAGTTTTTTTTTGTTCGTAAAAAAATTAGTCTTTCATAAAAAAGTTATTTTTTCATAAAAAAATTATTTTTTGCGAAAAAAATTATTTATTAGCAGAAGCAAATTTTTTTATAAAACAACATGAGTTTTTTACAAAAAACAATATTTTTACGAAAAAATAATTTTTTTACGAAAAAAATAATTTTTTAGCAAGAGAATAGTTTTTTTTACGAAAAAATATTTATTGCGAAAAAATCTACTTTAACTTTAACTTTAAAGTTAAAGTGTTTTACTTTAACTTTAATCACTTTAACTTTTAAAGTTAAAAGTTAAAGTGCCACCCCTAATTCTATCATATTTATTATTATTATTATAATATATATGTGTCCTTGGAAATAAAAATCCTGGATATAATAATGTTTATTTCAAATATCGAGCTAATTAATATTCTTTGTTTTTTTTTCTTTAATTATTTATTCGATTTATATTTCAACTAAAATCTCAAGGAAATATTTATTTTAAAGTAAATATATTTATCTATTTATTAATTAACTTTCTATAATTAGATTTAGAAAAAAAGTCTTATTGAATAAAATCCTAGAAATATAACTTAATATAAATATTTCCGTAGATAAACATCTATTGAATATATTATAAAATTAGTCTCATTTTGAAATATATTTGTTTTTCTCTTTAAAACAAAACAAAAAAGAAGCGACTAATTAATCTATTTTAAAATTGATTTAAAAAAGTGATGTTAATTAACATACAATATATTATTTGATGCAGCAAAAAGACATTGATCTCGAAGAAGATTTGCTACTTTTGAATATATTTTATAATTATCCGATAAATAATCATTAAAATGTCCAATAATATAATCTTTATTCATATCTAATTTTATTAAATCAGTTTTATTAAATAATTTAATTATTGGTGATTCAATTTGTTTATGAATATAATCTATTAAAGCATCAAGTTGTCTATATAGAAAATAAAAATAAAACGAATAATTTTATTTTTTTTAATATTGATAATAAAAGTAAAACCTTGCTCCTCGATATTCTCGTTTGATTAATATTGAATGTCGAAATAATTTTAATGTTGGATATTTATTAATATTATATTTTGTTGAAATAGATGCTGAAAATTAATAAATCAATATTTAGTTTATTTTAAATAAAATAAACAAACATTCGGAATCACAATCAACTTTTCCAATAGCCAAAAGACCTTTTTCCTAAAATCTCAATATATATTAAATGATATTTATTCTCTAACATACTGTATATTCTTTTGAGAGTTTATCAGCAAGTTGATCATATATTGGATTAAGCATTTGACTAAATCGACACCAATTAGCATAAAAATTAATAAAAACAACTTGATGTGATGCTTAACAAATCTTATTTATATTAATAATATATATTTATTAGTAAAACTTACAAAGTATTGAATCAATATTAGTAGTTGTTAGTTTTATTGCATCACTCCAAACATAACATATATTATATAATACCTATTTAACATTAATTAGTTTATTAATCTATACAATTCTATGAATAATATCATTAAATATATTTCAATTTATCTTATTATATATTTATTTATTTAATAGAATAAAAAATGATTTTATATTTATTTCTGCATAAAAGTCGATAACGAAAAAGAAAATTTTCTTTTATTTAAATATATTTCGTTTAGAAAATCTATCTTTATTATTAAATCTATCAATTTAATAAAATAAAAGAATGGAAAAAGTCTATTTGAATAGAATTTATTTTAAATAAAAAACTAAAAGTTAAACATACCAATATAAGAATTGTTTTGAAATAATATATATACATTATTTGTTTAATTATATATTCGATTAATTGAGACAAATAACAAACAAAATTAATTTATTTTAAATCTATAAGAAGTTGAGAATTGGAACCACGTGAGAGATCAGACGATAACTTTATTTAATACAAAAACAAACAAAGAAAAACAAAGTCAACTTGTTTTTGTTTTCATCCAATTATATTTTTCAATTCATTTTTATATTAATTTATATTCATTTTACAAATTTTCAATAATAGTTGTCAAACTTTTGCTTTTTTCATTCAAATATTTTCTTAAAATAAATATTAAAAAAAGAAAACAACACACACACGTGTATGAAAAGTGCATTAACGTTTTATTTATTTAATTAGAGGATAAGAAGATTTTATCAATGAAACTAATTTATATTTCGATCTTTATATTATAATCATTTATCAATAATGAGTGGAGAAAAGTAAATTTTATTTTAATTATAAATATAATAAAAAAAAAAAAAGCTAAAAAATTCTTTAATATATGTTGTGTTTTTTTTTGTTTTTTATTTATTGAAATAACTAAAATAGTATTATTCATTCAATGCAAACCGATAGTGAATGTGAATCTGATGTATCATCAATAGCTGATTCATCAACAACAAATCCAAATCAATTAGTACTTAATAGAGAATCTTTAATTAAACGTATTGATTCTTTAACACAAGAAAATCGTGTTCTCAAAGTTGAACTTGAAACATATAAATTACGTTTAAAAGCATCACAACAAGAAATAAAACAATTAAAACAGTTAGTTATTTTATATATATTATATAAATAATTATGTTTTATTTTAATTAAAAGTGCAAGTGTTAATATGCAAGCTAAAGCTGAACAAGAAGAAGAATTTATTTCAAATACACTTTTAAAAAAAATTCAAGAATTAAAAAAAGAAAAAGAAACTTTAGCTAATAATTATGAACGTGAAGAAGAATTTTTAACTAATGATTTATCAAGAAAATTACAACAATTAAGAGAAGAAAAACAAACATTAGAACAATCATTAGAACAAGAACAAGCTTCACAAATAAATAAATTAATGAAAAGAATTAAACGTTTAGAAGCTGAAACTATTAATAAACAAAATACTCTTGTATTAACTAGATTTATTTCTTATTTTTTTATTAAATTTCTTTTTTCATTTAGGATCAATTAAAAAGAGAAAAAATTGAATTAGAAAATACTCTTGAAAAAGAACAAGAATCTTTAGTTAATCGTTTATGGAAAAGAATGGAAAAATTAGAAACAGATAAAAGATTACTTCAACTTAAACTTGAACAACCTGATCAAACAGTTAATTCAACTAATTTTGTAAGTTTTTTATTATTTATATTTACTTTAATCAGACAAATAATAACAACATAAACAATGAGCAATTTTACAAATAAAAATTTTCATTCAACATTATTTAATATCAATTATTTATAGACAATTTTTATAGATTATATATAATCAACAATAATATTAGAATTCTTCATTTGTCATTCGATCATTTATTATACTTTAGAAAAACAAAACAATAAATATAAGTTTACCTTTACTAAGAAAAAACATATATCCTCTTTTTTTTTTATTTTATTAAAATTCGTTTAGTTGAATGTGTTTTATTTTAATCTATTAAATAGATTTTATCTTAAGAAAGTTTTTTTGATCAAATATATTCATATATATATATATATACTAGCGAGAGCCCGTGCATACTGCACGGATGCTTTTTTTCCTGTGAAGTTTCACTTCTGTCCTTTAGCCTTGATTGGAAAATAGACAAAAATCCAGTTCGCATTATATATATAGAGATCGTACAGCCTGATACTCTTGTTGTACTACTTTCTTTAGCCTTATTCCGTTATTTCCTTATCCCTTATATCATTTCCAGCCTTATCCATTTATACCATATACCCTTATCCCCTTATACTCTTTTAGCTTTATCCCTTATGCCCATGTAGTCTTAGCCTCTTATCCCCTTTACTCTTATATCCTTATCTCCTTATTCCCTACTCCCTTATAGCCTTATAGCCCTTGTGGACCTATGGGTATCTCCATACAATAGCCCTTGAGGACCTGTGGCTTTCTCAGTATAATAGTCCTTGAGGACCTATGGGTACCCTCATAGGATAGCCCTTGAGCATCTATGGGTACTCGCAGAGAATAGCCCTTGAGGATCCAGGGGTACCCCCATAGCATAGTCCCGGAGGACCCAAAGGTAGTTCCGTATAATAGCTCCGGGGGACCCAGAGGTACCTGCATATAATAGCCCTTGAGGGCCCAGATGTACCTCCATGTAATAGCCCTTGAGAACCTATGGGTATCTCCATATAATAGCTCTAGAGGACCTGTAAGTACTTCCATATAATAGCCCTTGAGGACCCATGAGTGCCCTCATATATAACAGCCCTTACAACCTTCCCCTTATAGCCTTATCTGACCTTTGACCTTTGACCTTTTGACCCGGCACAGACAGACAGACACACATTGAACATTATATATGTAGATATATGTTGAATATTAATCGAATAATTATTAAGAATATTTTAATTAATGGTTTTTAAATGATAATGTTTAATATTTAGATACAAAATCCATCATCATCATCATCAATTGATTCATCAATTGTAAATAATCCTTTATCAATAGTTGGTTCATCATCAATTAAATTAAATGATGATATATCAATATCAATAAATCAAGATAATAATCGTTCTAATTCATATTTATCATCAAATATGAATAATCGTCTTTCATTACCAAATATTGATTATATTCAACAATTAAAACGAGAAGTTGATAAACTTAAAAGAGAATTAATTAATACACAAGAATCACATAGACAAATAATGGAACAACTTGTTAAAGAAGAACAAGATATTAGAAATGAAAATTTACGTTTACAAAGAAAATTACAACTTGAAGTTTGTCTTTTTATTTCACTTATTATTTAATATTATTTTAATTAATTAAGGTTGATCGTCGTGAACAATTATGTCGTCAATTAAGTGAAAGTGAATCATCACTTGAAATGGATGAAGAACGTGCATTAAATGAACGAATTAAATCATTTCCTAGACAACAAAGAACAAATTCATCTCAACAACATTTAACTCGTTCAAGAACTGTTTCAAGTCCATCATCAGCTAATAATAATATTAATAATGAAAATCCATCATCAACATCAAATGATTTTCAAAGACCACGACCACCATCAACTTCAATTGATGCTTCAAACCAAATGGAATAAACATTTACTTTTTATTTAACAATAACATTTATTTCTCATCTTGTCTCTTTTCGTCTCTTTTCTTTTCTTTTGTATATAATTATTATTTCAATTTATTCTTTTGCTCTTACGGTGATATCAACGATAAACAATAGCAAAAACATTTCAAACATATATATATATATATATATACACGAAGAAATATCATTTTCATTCGACTTTTCATTAGATTTAGATAAAAAACGAGAATATTATTTAATTGAGATAAATATAATCTTATTCAAATTATTAATCAATAAAAACATCATTTATCTATTCTCGATTTCATCAATATTCATTTTATCATTGAGATAAACTCACTTGTGTTTTTTTTCCACAGACTTAGTTTATTTCTCTGACAACAATTATTTTTTACATATTGAAGATAAAATCAATTTTATGCAATAATCGATAATTAATAGTTACAACTGGGGGAAAACGACCAAAATAAATTGAACAAAGATTTTCTTAATAATTTTTATAACCTTATTTCATTTAATAATAATGAAAGATATATTCTACATGAAGTTCGATGTCTATCGAAGTCCGTTAAGCATGAAACAACGATAAATATATTTAATAACAGCTGAAACGTACAACAATGTATTGAAAGTGCTAACAAATGAAAATAAATACGATTGATCATTTAATTTTTGGATAAATATATCAAAAGAAATATATTGCAATACTAATTGATGTTGTTGCAAGAAAAATAATATAAAATGCTCTACCAAATGCAACATTGATACCAAATCAATATGTAATAATTATTAGACTCTTAGTATAGATTTTCTCGTGTTACTTACAATATCTCGATTTTATTGTTTGTCTTTATTTAGTGTTTATCGTTTTTTCTCAAACTCATCTATTCGATAAACATGTTACCACTTTTCGTATAACACAACTTTAAATATCTACAGTTTAAAGTCAACTATCTCCATTATAATTCAATCCTTTATTTAAATGACGCCTAGTTGATAATAAAATATTAAATTGAACTAGTTGCCTTTTAAAGGCAACTAAATTTTAATGTCAACTCCAACATATATATTCAACGATAGATTGTACATTATTGTTCATCATCGATTAATTTTTCTTATCACTATTATATTTTATATATCAATTAACTAAAAGATTATTTAAATAGATATTCAATATATATATATTTCTTTAAAGGTTAACTAATCATATTCATTGAATAAAACTTAAGTTTTTGTTAAATAGATATTATACAATATAATGGTATGAAATAGTTATATTGATTGTCAAAGAAAACCAAAATATTTAAAATATATCTGTTAGAATATGTTCATTGTATTGGGTTGGTAAGAAATTTTTGTCGTTTTTTTTCGTAACTTCCTAGAACAGTGAAGAAAGTTCTAGAAGTTTCCATACTAAGGGTATATAAAGGGAGTGTAAATATCTTTCGAACAACAATAAAACTATGGATATAGATACTGATCTCGAATTAGAAATGAAAATATCTCGTAGAGAGCTCCAGTTGCTTCTGCTTCATGAATTCCGTCTGGATCACAAAACAACAGAAGCAACAAGCAACATATGCCATACGATGGGCAAGGATGCGCTCTCCATTAGTGATGGGCCGAAACTGTACGTTACGAACGTAAGAGAAACGAAAGAACGAAAAAAAAATTCTTGCGACTATGACGTAAGGAAGACGTAATTTTTCTTTCCTTTCTGTACGAAATTACGGTATAACGTGTTACCAATGACGAGCAAGATATATGTTATTCCGTAATTTCGTACAGGAAGGAAAGAAAATTACGTCTAACTTACGTCATAGTCGTAAGAAATTTTCCTTTCGTTGTTTCGTTTTTCGCGTTAGAGTTTCGGCCCATCACTACTCTCCATTCGTACAGCGCAACGTTGGTTCAATGAGTTCAAGAACGATAACTTCGAACTCGATGATTTACCTCATACTGGAAGACCACTAGAGGTGGATACGGATCTCTTAAAGGAGCTTATCGAAGAAGATCCTAGATTGACTACACGGTGTTTAGCAGAGCGTCTTGAGTGCTCTCATATTACAGTGGAAACACATCTGCACGAATTAGGCAAAACATGGAAATATGGAGTTTGGATACCCCATGAGTTATCACCACTTCAGATGCAATATAGGGTTGACGCTTGTATGGAATTGTTGACTTCTTATCGCAACTATCAATGGCTCCGCAATCTTATTACTGGTGATGAGAAGTGGGTGTTGTATATTAACTACCAACGTAGACGCCAGTGGCTGAGCGCTGGTCAAGCAGGTGTACCAACGCCTAAGACTGATCTACACCCAAAGAAGGTGATGCTGAGCGTGTGGTGGGGAGTCAAAGGGATTATTCATTGGGAAATTCTTCCAGACGGCTGCAACATCACAGCTGATCTCTACTGCCAGCAATTGGACCGGGTTGCAGAAAAACTCAAAGGAAAACAAGATCGAATTTACTTTTTACATGATAATGCCAGACCCCATGTAGCAAAGTCGACACGCCAAAAGTTATTGGAGCTTGGTTGGATCACTGTTCCCCATCCACCTTATTCTCCAGGCTTAGCTCCTACGGACTAGCATCTGTACCGTTCTCTCGACAATCATTTACGTGAGAAAAAGTTCGAAGACGAGAACGACCTCAAAATGGATCTTCTCAATTTCTTCGACCAAAAGTCTCAAGACTTCTACGAACAAGGGATCCTTTCTCTACCAGAGCGTTGACAACAAGTCATAGACAGTAATGGAGCATACATTGTTGATTGATAATTGTATTTTGATATTTAAAAAATAAAAATAAAATTTTTGAAAAAAAACGACAAAAATTTCTTACCAACACAATATAATCAATAATAATAATCATTTTATATAGAATAGTTTGCTTAATACTCTTAAAAATGTTTGATTATATCTTGCTTAGACATGTTATTATACCAATAGACAATTGACTAGAATTTCTATTAATAATATTTAATGCTATTGACTATAATTCATACTGAGAATCGATGACGATTTAACTTTAAAAAAGATCAAAGTTAAACTAGACTTCTTTGTTTTACTAACAAAGACTTTATAATAAACAATCCATTTTCTAACCGAATGGACTGCATTTAAGGATATTTTTTATCTATAATTATATAATTTTTTTTCAGGCACCGAAAAACCTCTTTTTAATGATGCTTGTTGAAAGATCAGTAAAACTTGTTGATAGCTTCTGATATATACATTGATATAAAAGTCGAATTTGATTATATATAGGTGGATCAATGACACGTATCCAACATTCTATATTCAGTATCATGATTAGCGTATATGTCGTCATTGAAAGATATTGTTCATTTTCTAATATATTGACAAATAAGTCGAGACCATATCAATGATCTTCATTTTCTACGACAATTAAAATAATATTTAAAACAAGCTCAGTTTTATATTGAAAATATTCAATCATCTAATTATACAATAGAAACTTGAAATTGTTTGTTTTTTGTTTGTTCTCAATTGTTTATAATAACCTTCTATACTTAGTATCGTTTTTTTTATAGATCAAAAAAAAAACGAAATTAAATAATATATAATAGTCTTTTGTTTTTCTATTGTGTATCATTTATTCGCAAACTTTCTTTATCTATTTCGTTTTTAGATAATATTAATAGAATAAATAAAAGAAAAAAAAATTCTTTGAATGGACTGCATTTAAGGATATTTTCTCGCCCTTTTATGAAATTGCTGAAGAATCGTTTATCAGAATAATTTGAAATATTTAGGATAGAACGATCTTGATTATTAAAGCAAAAGTTGTCATCGATTTAAAATTCTTGAATGCACTCATCTATGAAATAATACAATCACAATGACGAACGATAGCTCCTAGTTTTAGCTTCGGTTTCTCCGAGATAGTATAGGAGATTGAATGGAAATTATTTTTACAGATACTAAACACTGTTTCAGATGAGGACTTTTTTTTTAGTTTATTTTCATCTTCTTTTTTCGAATAAAAGAAAAATATCTATCTTGAAAAACCATGTCTAGTATATGTGAAAAAAATTCAGTTCGATTGATCATACCACGCCGGAGAAACAAGAGCCTTTATGCACTTTTTCATGAAATAATTCTTTTAAGAAAAACACGAAATAGTTTACAATTTTTTAGCTTTTTTTCCTTATGGAAACTTGATTTATTGTTGATTTAAAAATTTTTAAAGATAATATTTAGGCCTGAAAAAGTACTCAGTTTCATAGATAGACTACTTGATACAATACAATTATAAGACAAAAATGAAAAATGAAATAAGAAAAAATAATGGTTGAGGAGAAGGAAAAGAATGATATATAAAGGGGGAAAGAATATTAATTCTAAGAAATAAAATATTGATCAATAAATATCAATGCTATTCAAATAGAAATGAATTATAAAAAAAAACAAATTATATCATTTGCAAATCATTTTCGAGTAAGATATATATATATATCGATTAGGTGCAATGCCAACAATTTGAATTATATGTATACATAGCCAATCAACTGCTATCGTCTGTTGTTCTGTTTTTTAGAAGTTAATATTATTGCAATTCTACAGTCATTACAAAATTCATTGACATTTCTTCTATGTACTGATTTGAATGAAGATAACCACAACGTGCTTTAATGTCACCAACCTCGCTTTACTGTTTGGAATATTCGATAGGTGTTACACTTGACAAATTTCCCAAACAATTTACACTATACACCAAAACAAATATATTATATTCTGAACTCTCTGTCAAATTCGACGGATAATCCATATTATACGTCAAAATGAATAAATACTCGACGTTCTCTGCCAAATTCCGCAAATACCTCCCACTATGTATAAAGTTAGCACATAATCTGCACAGTCTCGCAGATTTGGCAGAAAGCTATGCGTAGCAGAAAATTCCGCTGATATATTGCGAGAAAATTTTCGCACACATTTCGAAAAAGTGGAAGGAGGCTAGATTATCCCA